CTTCTCCCTCTGCCTGTGTCTCTGCCTCTCTCTCTCTCTCTGTGTGTGACTATCATAAAAAAAAAAAATTAAAAAAAAATAAGCTGGTGATTTGGTGAGTAAAATGTTTCTCTGAGATCTGTGAGCCACTCTAGCAAATTAATTGAACCCAAGGAGGAGGTCCTTGAGACCTCCAATTTATAGCTGGAAGCACAGGCAAATCGTAGGTCACACAGCTGGTATCGGAGAATTCCTTGTTAGATGTGTGAGGGACCAACCTCTCCCACACCCACATACAATGGAATTGGATTCAAAATACAAATGGTAATCAAGACAGTGTAGTACTGGCAAAACAACAGACAACTGAATCAAGGCAACAGAATGGAGAGCCCAAAAACAGACCTACGTGGAAAGAGTCAACTGATCCTTGATAAAGAAACAAATGCAACCCAAGAGAGCAACCAGTCTCTTCAACAAGTGGTGCTGAAGCAACTGCATATCCACGTGCCAAAAAATGAATCTAGACACAGACCTTACACCCTTCACAAATATTAACTCCCAATGGATCACAGACCTAAGCGTAGAATGCAAAACTATAAAACTCCTAGATAACAACACAGGAGAAAATCTACATGGCCCTGGGTTTGGTGATGACTTTTTCCACACAACACCAAAAGCACAATCCTTGAAAGAAATCATTGATAGGACGGACTACAGTAAAATTTAAAGAACCACATCCACAGAATCAGAAGACAAGCCACAGACTGGGAGAGAACTTTGCAGAAGATACATCTGAGAAGGACTGTCACCTAAAATATACGAAGAACTCTTAAAACCCCAAAAAAGAAGGGCGCCTGGGTGGCTCAGTGGTTGAGTGTCTGCCTTTGGCTCAGGTTGTGATCCCAGGGTCCCGGGATCGAGTCCCACATCGGGCTCCCCACAGCGAGCCTGCTTCTCCCTCTGTCTGTGTCTCTGCCTCTCTCTGTGGGTCTCTCATGAATAAATAAATAAAATCTTAAAAGAAAACCCCAAAAGAAAACAAACTACCCTATTAAAAAGTGGGTGAAAGATCTTAACAGACATCTCATCATGTTTTAGCTCTTGTGAATAATGCTGCAGTGACCATGAGTGAACAAGTATCTCTGGAGGCCCTGCTTTCAGTTCTTTGGGGGCAAACACCCAGAAGCGGACTTGCTGGATCACATGGCAATTATATGCTTTTGAGAAGCTGCCATACGGTCTCCACAGTGGCTGCAACATTTACATTCCCGCCAAGGCTCCAAGGTCTCCATACCCTTGTCAACTCTTGTTATCTTATGTTCTGTTTTGTTGCCAGGAGCCCACCCCATGGGTGTGAGGGGATATCTCACTGTGGTTTTGGTCTGTATGTCCCTAGCAATTGGGGATGTGGAGCATCTTCATGTGCTCACTGGCTGTCTGTACATCTTCCTGGAGATGTGTCTACTCAAATCCTTTCCCCAGGACTTGAGAAGTTTTGACTCAGGTATTCTGTTGTTGTTTTTAGGAGCTCTCTACATGTAGTTCCATAGTTTCTTACAAAACTGAACATATTCTTACCGCATGACTCAGCAATCATACTTGTTGGTATTTACCCAAGGAAGGTAAAAAACACGGGTGCATACAAAAACCTGCACACAGATGTTTACAGAACTGCCAACAGTGGAAGCACCCACGGTGCTCCTCAGTGGGTGAATGGACAAGGAGACGGCCCATCCGGTCAACAGGAGCGCACCCAGCGCTAAGAGGAAATGAGCCATCCAGCCATGAGAAGACATGGAGGGACCGTGAGGGCACGTGACCTGGTGACAGCAGCCAGGGTGAGGGGGCTGCGCACCATCAACTCCAACCACACAACTGTCTGGGAAAGGCACAGCTGTGCAGATGGGGCAGGCTCGGGGGTGGCCGGGGGCTGGGGGTGGGGGGGTAGGGGTAGGAGGGATGAAAGAGTGGAGCATGTAGGATCTTTTGGGAGTGAAAATACTCTATATGACACTATAATGATGAACACGTGTCATGAAATAATTGTCCAAACCCAGACAATGAACAACACCCAGAGTGAACCTTACTGTAAACTATGGTCTTTGGTGACTATGATGCGTCCATACAGGCCCATCAACTGCAACAAATGTGCACTCTGGGGTGGGTGGGGGGATGTTTAACTGGAGGAGGCTGTGTGTGTGCAAGGATAGAGTATATGGGAAATCTCTGTATATCCCTCTTAATTTCGTTGTGAGCCTAAAACTGCTCTTTAAAAAAAAAAAAAAACTTAAAAAAAATGGTGACTTATATGTCATGTATTTTTAACCATAATAAAAATAATCCACAGTGTTTGTCTATATCAGTAATAATTATCCATAATATATAACAGACAATAAGATTAATTCTGATGTAATACAGGAAGTATAAAGTACCAGAAATTAATCCATCAAAAATTGCAAACATCTCTGTGAACTATATAATCTGTACAATTATGTCTAACTCTGAGCTCATAGAGATTTGAGAGGCTGGGAACAGACCCATCTTTCAGTATATAACAGCAATGCCTTCACAGATTACTGTGGAAAATGTCAATTATTTAGTAGGTGGTACCCGGAAAACTGATTCACTATATTAAAACAGTAAAGCCAAATTATTACTTATAATACAACTGTACTAAAGGCCTGAATTTGAAAGTAAATGATAAAAATCTCAGAAAAAAAACATAGGAGAGTACTTTTATGCTCTTAATTTGGGGAGCAATTTCCTTTTTTTAAAAAAATTTTTATTTATTTATGATAGTCACACAGAGAGAGACAGAGAGAGAGGCAGAGACACAGGCAGAGGGAGAAGCAGGCTCCATGCACCGGGAGCCCGACGTGGGATTCGATCCCGGGTCTCCAGGATCGCGCCCTGGGCCAAAGGCAGGCGCCAAACCGCTGCGCCACCCAGGGATCCCTGAGGAGCAATTTCTTAAATAAGATCCTGGAAGTGCAAATCACTTTCCAGGGTGAAAAATTAACCAATAAGGTAATAACAAACTGAACTTTTCTATTCAAGAGGAGCATGGTACGGATCAAGTGAAAACATGGGTTTGGGCGGGAAAAGACATGGAATGTCTTTTTTTTTTTTTTTTTTTGACACGGAATGTCTGCATCTCTCAAGGACTGCAGTAGGAACCGGAGGAAGAACGTCTGCAGATCAAGATGGGAAAAGGGTGAGATCCAAAAGACCAACGGCAGAGGGTATCAACGGGCAACCGCAGGGAGAAAGACGAACAACGCGTGGCTGCCCCACAGCCCCAGCAGACACCAGTTTTTATTAAAATGAGGCGGAAACTAGCATGATGCACTGTTGGTATAAGTGTGAACTGGTGTGACCCGGGCTGGGGTGTGTGTGACATCATTGGTGAGGTTCTACATGTGTGTAGCGGGGATCCTGGGTAGAACAAGCTACACTCATGGAAACTCAAGGCTGAGCTGCAGAGGAGGCTTGGAGCAGAGCCAAGTCTCTACCGTGAGGGAACGGGCCTAGCGCAGTCCATGACCACGACGGCGTCTCTGCAGGAGTGAGACGTAATCCACCCGCTGCCTATGATGGCATCGGGGGTAGGTCCCAAACGCTGGGATGAATGGAACGATGAGATGCAGAATGGCGTCTAAAACACAGTTCCGTCTCTACGAATTAACGACACACATAAACGCCCCAGAATGACACCACCGTGTAGTTTTCAAGGCACCACACGCACGCGCACACACGAATGGAGAGTCGACAGGAAGGACACATAATAAGCAAAAACCCGTGCTTGGGGGGAACGGACCACAGTGTGTGAGGAATCACGTTCTGTGCACCTGAGGTTCCCTGACAAGGTCCACCCAAGAAAAGCAACACACGAAAGGCTTACAGACAACTGAAAAGGGCCGTGTGTGTGCACACGCACGTCGGCTGTGACAGCTTCGGTCGGGCAGTCACGGACCCGCTCACGATGGCTGGCACAGCGGAGCTCTGAAGACGACCTTCTCTGGCTTACGTGCTTCTGGACCGCTCAACTTTTTGCCATCTGTCTATGTTACTTTTTCTTTTCTTTTCTTTTTTTTTTTTTTAAAGATTTTATTTATTTATTCACGAGAGACACGGAGAGAGAGAGAGAGGCAGAGACCCAGGCAGAGGGAGAAGCAGGCTCCCTGCAGGGAGCCCAACATGGGACTCGATCCCGGGACTCCAGGGTCATGCCCTGGGCCAAAGGCAGGTGCTAAACTGCTGAGCCACCCGGGGATCCCGCTTTTTTTTTTTTTCCCCAAGTAAATATTTGTTAAAAACAGAGCTATTGGAACTAATGCCTGAAACAATGAGGCTTTTTAAAAAGTCTGGCCTAGACGCATCTTTGTCTGAAAAAACATCTGTCAAGCAAATGCAAACGGGTGGGTCTGCAGCAGCCCCAGCCTCCCTACAGGCCGCCACCTGGCATGTGACGCCAGGGACACTCTGCACCTATAATAACCCAAAGTGGTAACGCAGTGGCGGACGGGACCTTTAAGGTGGCTTCCTCTAGGAATGAGGACCCTCTTCCTTTCCTCTGGGAGCAAACTGTTTTACACGTCACCGTGGGTGGCCCATACGTGCAAGGACAGAAGCAAAGCCATGTGGGTGACCAGAGCCCCCGGCACGGGGGCCGCAGCTCGATCCCCGCATGGTGGCCCCCAAAACCCTGCATAGGGCCTCCGTCCTCCAGAGAAGGCCGGGAACACACAGCAGGAAACATGGACGAAGCCCCGAAGCAGGGATCCCTGGATGGCGCAGCGGTTTGGCGCCTGCCTTTGGCCCAGGGCGCGATCCTGGAGACCCGGGATCGAATCCCACGTCGGGCTCCCAGTGCATGGAGCCTGCTTCTCCCTCTGCCTGTGTCTCTGCCTCTCTCTCTCTGTGACTATCATAAAATAAAAAAAAAAAAAAAAAAAAAGAAGAAGCCCCGAAGCAGAGCGGCGAGTCCCGCCTGCAGGCAGCCTGCGGGCAGGAGGCCTTACCGTGCCATCTTGTCGCTGCAGGACATGGTGAGCAGCCTCTCACCCTGCAGCACCCCGTCCCACGTCTGGAGGCTTGCGTTGGACCGCACGGGAATTGTGCCTTCGCCAGACTCTATTTTCGTCCGCAGCTGTCCTCTGGCTTTGCGGTTTGGATGTCTGTCCGCCGGTTCTAGGAGAGGGAGGCCGGGTGAGAATCCCCGCGGGCAGCAAGCCTGACCCGTCCTCACAGCAGAGCAAGCGCAGCAGCCCCCTATACGCTTAGAGTCTGGCTCACGGCCGTGTGCACATGCTGCTTCTCTCTCTATAAGATAGATGCACAACATGGTAGAGAAAACTGGGAAGGAAAGGACGTGACACAAACCAAAATCATGAAAGTGGTCTCCTCCAGGGGGGCTGGGGAAAAACAGGGCTTCTTCCATTTTAACCAAAACGATTTCCTTCTATCATTAAAAATGAGCTGAGGCAAGGAGGACAAAATGCTAACACCCGCTAATTCTAGGTGATGGGTATTGGAGTGTTTGTCACACATTTTCTCTGCATTTTTAAATTTTCCAAAATTTTCCAATCATAGGGATGCAGAAATAAACGCATGCACAAGTAAACATATAAAGTGATTATTCCTGCGTTATATGAGCACGGGCGATTGAATTCTTTTCTTTCTTTCTTTTTTTTTTTTTGAATTCTTTTCTTATTTTTCTTTTTTTTTTCTTTTCTTATTTTTCAAAAACATGCAGCAATTTTCCACAGTGGGTATGTGTTGCTTTTGCAATTAAGGAAAATAACGGACTCCGATGCCGTGTCTGAGTTGCTTCAGCTTGGAGAAGAGACGAGGACACGAATTACTTTACAACAGGGGCCCCGACCTACGTGATGCACCCAGGCCCCTTCTCACGAGCGCGTGCCTGCCTCCAGAATGCCGGCCACACCGCAGGCACACACCCATCGAACGGCCGCTCGTCCGGGGCCCAGATGCACAGACGCGGACGGCCCCAATTTAAAGACTCGTCTGACGGCTTGTCCTCACCCTGACCACTTCGTGTACTTGGTGCATCACAGTCAACCCGTTTCATTCACGCAGGTTTTCCTTTTAGCAAATTATTGAGACGGAAAACCTGGTGCTTTGATATATTCCTATCAGATCCACTTTCAAGCTGAAGTTTTCAAGGAAAAGAAGAAACGGCTATTAACGTAGGTGTGCTCCCCTGTCACTACGGAACCACGAGTGCCCTTGCGAGCCGAGGCCCGTACCTTCCAGAATCGGCTCGTGCGGTGAGAAGATCCTGGCGTCCCCGCAGGGGGACGTGCTGATGTACAGGTGGAACTGAACAGTCTCCTTCAGCTTGAACCCTCCGCGCTCGGACTTCTGAAAGATGGATCTCTTTTGATCGTCTTTGTTGCTGGAAGGGAACAGGTTGCAAGCGTGAGCTCAGAGCGGTGTGCGGTCAGCCTATCGTCGTTCGCAGAGACTTCCAGGGGCCCCTATTTTCAACAGGGTACAGGTGCGGGATGCTCACATGCTGACCACGACCGACAGGGTTACTGAGCCCGCCCGACAAGGAGCGTGAGGGACCTTCCCCTCCCTCTGGCCTACGACGTCCGCACAGACCGCACACGGCTCGCTCAAGAATAGCGGCTTAGCCGGGTGACCGCACGGCCGTGGTCCCTGGGGCGGCTCGGTTCTGCTCACGCTCACACGGTGTACAGCAGCAGCAGCGCGCGGTTCTGCACGCAGACCTCACGCCGCGTGAGCCGTCAGTACACGCGTGCACGCGCGTGTAGAATTTGCCCACCTCAATTCTGCAGCGTGAGCGCCCGGGGCAAACGGGACCCGACCCCTTTGCTGCCGATAAAGTTACTACTTTAAGAGTTTTTCAGTGATTACAGAAACTATGAAGGTTTTGCAATACATTCTGAGTTAGGAGGGGGATTTTTTTTAAAAAAAAAAATTGCTTCCTTTAGTTATTTACCTAACTAGACTTACTTTAGGTAAAGCTCAAGTTGTGTATAAAGAAATCTAAGCAAGGATCTCCGAGCTATAATTTCTGCATGGCAGTCATTTAACGCAAGGCCACGGTCACTCATGTACTCGCCATTGATGCACTTTGTCCCCGTGGAAATACTTATCACCTTGGCGTCTTTTACATCTGTGCCTGAAAAACAGAGAGAGATGATCCCTCGTGCCGGGCCGTGCTCCCGGGTCCGCTGAGCGCAGTCAGTGACCCCAGTGTTGGGGTGTGACACGCACCCCTGCCCCCCCTCCCCGATCGTACTGTGCAAACTCCGCCTCCCCCGAGGGCCCTGCAGCAGCGTTCCTGGGATGTGAACCCCCCTCGCTCTTTGGTGCACAGATTCTAAACCTAAGGAAGGATTTCCTCCGGATGCAATCAAGTCTGGTCTGGAGCACGCCCCGCCGCACACAGGCCGGGAGCACCAGGTAGAGGTGGACCAGCAGGTGCGACAATTTTGAAAGTAACATCAAGGCACCAAGGAGGCTCCGAGGAAAGAGAGGTGGCGCGGGGTCAGGGGCGCCTGTCACCACGGCACGGGGAGCGCAGCCACTCTGAAGGTACGTCTGCTGACAGACCTCACGCTGCAGACCCGGACTGAGACCCGGACACCGCCTGACAGTGACCTCACTGGCCGTCATCGCCCCGAGCGGCAGCGCAGCACCAGGTCTGCTCGGAAAGGCTTTGCACCTCATTCCCACGTGTGCTCTGGGGGGCACGCTACCTGCGTCCGTGTGGCAGAGGAGGACCCCGAGGCACAGACGGGTCAACGGCCTGCCCCGGGTCACTCCGCCAGCAGGAACCCAAGCTGAACCCGGCCATCTGATGCCAGGGCCATGTGTCATGGGCTGTGTGGCGCTGCCTGCGGGGGTAAACCGTGGCCCCGGGTGGAAGGTCCCACGTGAAAGGCACAGCAAATGTCAAAGGGCCCGGGAGCCAGTCTGCCCCCCAAGAGCCAGTGAGAAGAGCCGTGTGGAAGGACCCAGCGGCCGACGCTCCCGGGCTGGCAGGTGGACACACAGGCTCACCCAGGGAACACTGCGTCCAGGAGCCGGGCATCACCCTCAGTCACGCAAAGAACAACAGCAAGGGAGGAGCGGGGGACGCAGGCATCGAACACCAGGACTAAACTGAAAGCCACGGTAACGTCCAGGGCACTTGCTCCACTGCAGACACACCCTCAGCTGTGCCAGTAAGGACAGTGTGCAAGAAAAGGCGTAATTAGGAGCACCGGGGGTCTCAGCCATTGAGCATCTGCCTTCGGCTCAGGGCGTGACCCTGGAGTCCTGGGATCGAGTCCCCCGTAGGACTCCCTGCATGGAGCCTGCTGCTCCCTCTGCCTGTGTCTCTGCCTCTCTCTCTCTCTCTCTCTCTCTCTCTCTGTCTCTCATGAATAAATAAATACAATCTTAAAAAAAAAAATAAGCCAGGCAGCCCCAGTAGTGCAGCAGTTTAGCCCCACCTTCAACCCAGGTCGTGATCCTGGAGACCCGGGATTGAGGCCCACATCGGGCTCCCTGCATGGAGCCTGCTTCTCCCTCTGCCTGTGTCTCTGCCTCTCCCTCTCTCTCTCTATGAATAAATAAATAAAATCTTAAAAAAAAAGCCATAATTAAAACAGCACTCGTGTTGGGGCATTGAGGGGTGTCTGACACTGCGGGTCTGCAGTCACATCCTGCCCACGATGGGACAGAGAGCGACCTTGGGAGAAGCGGAGGGCGCGGTCACCCACACAGAGCACTGGGGCTCTTCCCTGGCCGGCAGGTGTAGACAGAGACGGCGCCCCCAGCCCGCTCGCCCCTGGCCCTACAGGGCTGTCTCCCCAGCGGGGTGGAGTGGATGCCCCCGTGCAGAGGGCCCTGCAGCAGCAGGGATCAGGGCCCAGGCTGCATCTTCACCTCTGGGGTGCAGGAAAGGACTCAGACGGGGTTCCTCGTGCTGCTGGGAGCTTCTGGGTAAATTTAATAGGGCTGCTTCTGCTGTCCAAGTGTCTCTCCACCCGTGCCCTCTCCGCTCTCGCGAGTGCTACCTGCCTCCCCGGAAGGGTCACGGGGAGCTAGCTGGGCACCACCGCTGTCGGTAACTCAGACGCCCACTCTCCAGGGGAGCGAGGAGGACCGAGGGCTGTCTTGTTGCACTTTCCAGAGTCCGTCCAAACCATCAGGGGTGACGCTAGGCGCCCGGTATGAATACAGGAGGCTTTCTCCTAGTAAAAAAGCCCAGGCTGACGAGTGAGCGCACGGGGGAAATGTTTGTAAGAGCAGTTCCTACGTGTGCCCGTGTGCCCGTGGTGGGATCTGAAGGATTAGGAAACGGCCCCCTCAGCCTCACCGGGGTGGCGGCGGCCTGAGAGCGTGTCCCCTCTCTGTGGTCCAGGTAACGCCAACACGACGTTTTTTTTTACCTGTTGTCATGACGATGCCGGCGAGCACTTTCCTGCGTGCGTGAGGAGAGGAGAAGTTGTCGGTCAGGTCGCCAAACTTATCCAGCACCAGGCGGGCCACGGCGTCGGCTAACACCTGCGGACCACAGCTGGGAGTTAGGGATGCGGCCTGCAGCCGCCCCGCGCACGCCGGTGAGGCCGTCTCTTCTGGAAAACCACAAGGTGAATCCGGCAAACGGGCACGCGCGTGTGCACGTGAACGCTCTTTTGTCCTCCAAAACGTTCATCGGAAACGGAGGCCCCAGGAGCATTCGAGGCTCTGGCCAGAATCCTTCAAGAGTCTGCAGGACAGGGACAGCGCGGAGCCCGGGCCACCCTCCGGTCCTCTGACACCCCAGCCCTCCCCCCGGATGAGGACGCTGAGGCACAGACCAGCTTCCCCGGGGCACCTGCCTTGCACCCTCCACCCCTCTGCACCCGGCTCTCCCAGCCCCACGCCCCGTCCCCAGAGTGACCTCCCCGCAGGTGGGGTGGCCATCAGCTCGAGGGCTGGCCGGGCCGGGAAAACGACCTCGAGTGTGACGGACATCAGGGAAGGGAAGGGGCGGCAGGAAGATCCACGTGGCTCAGCCCTGCTGCCCTGGCTCGGCCACCGCCCAGGAACCGGCGCCAAGCAGCCCGCAAGGGCACTTATAAACTCAGGCCCCAGGGCACCCGACGGCACCCACGGCCGTGCTCTTCGAGGGCCCGCGGCCAGACCCGCCGCGCAGCACACACACCAGGCAGGCTGCATGCACGCTCTCGTCCCCACGGCCTACAACTTATCTCGGATACAAGAGTTTGGGAAACGATGCCTGACGGGAGGTGTGTGTGAAGAGCTGCGTCCCCCCAGTCTCACCCTGGGCGGGAGCATCAAACAGCTAGACCCAGGGTCCCCAGCTTGCCCCTTAGCAAAACACTCCCAAATGGACAGAAACATCGCTCATCCCGAACGACAGCTTATTTTGACAAAAAGGAAAGTCTCCAGGACTTCTTCCTCCTGCTGCTGCCCCTGTCAGTACCAAGGAGCCCCCAGAAGGCCGCGTTCAAGCCAGAGGCAGGGGCACGGATGGAAGACGTGGGCAGCGGGACTCCCTGCATCCCTGCACGGTGTCACTGCCACACTTGGGCTGCGGGCGACCTGGCAGGGACGGCGTCAAAGATGAAGGACCACGTGTTGCAATGCACGTAAAAGAAAAAGATCTTACGAGAAGAGAAACGCTTCCATTCCGTAGGAGGTGAGGCGTATCCCAAACCACTGGGCTCAGGGACGCTCAGGGGAGGTCAGGCCCCTACGCGGGCGCTCACTGGTCAGAGGAGGCATCTCCGGCACCCAGGCAGCTCCTCCGTCCCCTTGAAGAGGCCACAACCCGCTTCCTACAGGTAGGGAAGCGACTCTCCCTCTACACGCTGGGGGCAGACGAACAACGAGGGTCACGCCCATGTCCCCCAGCCCCAGGCGGCCCCCAGGACTGAGAGGCCCCGGCCCAAAGCTGGTGGTGCCGCTCCACGGGATCCAGACACTGAGGGCTCGGCACGCCTCACGCTGCCCACAACGTCTGGGTTAAACCCTGAGACGTCGCTATGAACACGATGAGGGCAAAAGGTCCTGAGACCAGGGACTCGGGGCTGCTCCGGGCCAACGGTGAGGACGCTCGCCACTCCAGAAGCACACTGGAAACTTCTGGTGCAAGGGCACGGAGCCCAGACACCAAGCTGGAAGGGCTGCTCCTGCGGAGGCCACTGTAGGTGCTCCCGGGAGAACGTGGTCCTGTCTCCCGCGGGGGCTTCGGAGACACCACGGTTGGGGCACGGGGAGCTCTGCTGCCGCAGAGGCACAGAAATTAGCGCCAGGCCCTGCAGAACTCGGGCGAGCGGCACGGGGCAGGGCCGGGATGGGCCCTGCCCGCCAACCCCCTCCTAGGCGGGATCCCGGATGCCCACCCCGGTGAGGCTCCGCGTGGCCCCCGGCACGGCTCTGGTCTCTGCTCCCGCTGAAGGACAGGCCCAAGCCGGGAAGTGCCCACATGGACCCCCACCTGCCTCCCCGCCCGCCTCCCTGCCACGGGGTCACCAGGCCTCGGGCGGGATTCCACTCGCCCCCCCCCTCCCACTGCTCTGTCCACATCTGCTCATGTTCAGGGAAGTCAGGGGGCCTCAGACACTAGGGGAACTCAAGCTGGAATATCCTGCAGCAGACGGGAAACCCGAAAATAAAACCTCTCTGGGAGCTGGTGCCGCCGATTTATGAAATTATAAATGGGCTAATACCCTCCTGAAAAAAAGGTTCATAAGATGTTCGCACAGGACGTGATTATTGGGTTTGTGAAGTACCAGGAGGATGTTTTGAATATGGTACTTTATACTGACGCTGTATTTCGTTGCTTTTGGCAAAATAAAATAAAGTGTCTCCTTCTAAAACCTAGAAGTACTGGTGACCCCAGGCAACGAACGGCACAGAGAGGTCACCCTAACAGTGCTCTGAGGCGACGGAGAAGCTGCGACATTCCGGATTCTTCTAAGAGAAATCCAAGCCGTCCCCCCCTGGTGATTTCCGGTCCTTCATTTTTTTTTTTCTGATCAAACCAGTACGTAACTTATCTTCAACACGGATAATATTTTGACAAAATGGCAGAGAAGGGCGGTGAGATTTTGTCCCTAAAAGACTAATTTTTTTTACTAGGCCAGAAAAAAACCTGGATTTCCAAGAAGAGAAGCGACACATAAATCAGAGTTCTCTGGAACTTCAGAGATGCCGGCTACACGCTACTTCCCCTTCGGTCTTCCCCATTCGCGAATGCGATGAGCCCACCCCGAAATCCTCCCCGTCTTCCCCCTGGTCTGATGGGGGGGGCCGCTCACCTCCGGCCGAGGAGCAGGGGACCCACGTGGATCCCCCCTAGGACACTCCAGGTGAAGGTTCCCGGGCAGCGGGGATGCTGCCGAAGGGATCCCTTGCCCCCCACCGCCCCTCCAGGACGCCCGCACCTGCTGTGGGGCACCCACGCAGACCCGCACGAGGGTGTCGGCTGCCGGCCGGCCAGCCTGGCTTCTGCGCTCGGGATTCCCTGGTGAGACTGCGGGAAGCGCGGCTGGGCTGAGCGGCGCGGGCTGCCGGCTCCGTGGGGCCCGCGGGGGAGGAGCCTGCGGGAAGGGGCCGCGGGGCTCTAGTGGGCGGGGCTCCGTGGGCCCGCGTGGGGTGGCAGGCCCAGGGCCGCCCGCCCGGAGCCGACTCACCGGTGACGATCCGACGTCCCTCAACGGCGCCCGGGAGGCCGAAGCCCTGTCCGAAGCGCCGTCGAGGTGCGGCCAGCGTGGCCGGCAGCGGCGCGTTTCCTCACCTGCGGCAGGTGCAACTGCAGGCCCTCGCTGGGGATGGGCTGGCGGGACGGCGTCTGGTCCAGGTGCAGGTTAAAAATGGTCGCCAGGGCGGACTGCGCGGCCCGGGCCTTGGCGAGCTTTTTGTTCCTGCCCGAGCCCTCGAAGAACTGGCCGTCCACCACCACGGACATGACGAAGCTCTTGGCGTGGCTCTCCCCGCTCTCCGACAGGAAGTCGTACTTGAGCCCGGGCCGCAGCTCGTTCAGGATCATCACCGGGTTCTTCCCGCTTGGGGGCGGGAACGGCGGGGGCCCGGGGAGCGGGGGCTGCGCCAGGCCCGCGGGCGCCGGGGACGCCGCCAGGCTGAGGTCCCCGCTGGAGCTGAACGAGTCGTCCCCGTTGGAGCCCAGGTAGAAGGGCACCTCCGACCTGTCCGGGGTCTCGAAGCCGTTGAAGAGCGTGTCGGGGAAGTCGGCCTGGTCGGACGTGAAGTCCGTGTTGGCGGACAGGGTCCTCCCCATGGCCAGGTGGGCCTCGGAGGCGTTGGGGAACTGCACAAAGGAGCGCAGCGCCTTCTCGGCGGCGTGCAGCTTGGCCTTCTTCTTGGTGGGCCCGGAGCCCTCGAACACCTGCCCGTTCACCTCCACGGACATGACGAACAGAGGCGCGTGCACCGGCCCCGTCTGCGACAGCAGCGCGTACTGCAGGCCGGGCTTGATCTCGTTCAGCTGCATCAGGGCGTTCTTCGGCAGCGCGGGGCCCGGCGGCCGCCTCCTCTTCTTCAGGCGGAACTTGGCGTGCCCGTTGCTGCCCTCTTCCAGGGGCCGCTTCCGGCTGGCGCCACCGCTGCCCCCGTTGGAGAGCGGGGCACCCTCGCCGGGCCCGGGGGCGCTGCCGTCCTTGGGGGGCACGCTGTCCAGACCGCAGCTTTCCTTAACATCTGTGCTGCTCGAACCTGCGGTGCCCAGAAAGAGTAACTTACAACGCCTTCGTTGCAGGATCTTGTAAATGCAAAATTTATAGATTCCTTTATCTCTCTTTGCAACTGGTTAAGTGATGTGTGCTTATACAGTCTGCTCTGTCGTGCACGCAGGAGCTGCACCCTTGACCCCACAACTAGCACCTGAACCCAACTAATTCGATGTTTTGCTGCATCATGGCCAACCCCACGTCTAGTTACCGTCACCTCCCGCTTTCGCGTGAAGAGGTGAATTTTTCAAATGATTTCTTTTTCTTTAAGAATATTCGGAAGCATCTAGAGCTCTTTTATTATTCAAGCTCATCGAAATACGGGGTGATAAATTAATCCTGAAAACTCTCCGTCCACAAGTCTGATGTCGGGACTGACACACGGGCCCCTCCTCTCCAATGTCAGCGGCCCTCGGGCCGTGCTCACCCGGGCTCTGCACCGCGCCGCGGCATCTCCCAGGAGAGGTAACGGGATTAAAATACACACCCGCGAGCTAATCAGCTTTCGGGTTTGGAATATTCAAACCAGTACGTGCAGTGATTTGATTTAGCCCATGAATTAATCTTAGAAAACGCCTCATCCATCATGGGAAGTGCTCCGGACGTGGGGTGATCTCTGATATCCCGGAGCTACCCAGGGGCTGATTGAGCTCCGAATCCTTACTCCATGCCAGGATGGGGAAAAAAAAAAAAATCGTAACGAGGCGTAAAATTGAAGCCGCAAACAGGCTACAACTTCCTAAGTAAAGCCAGTGATTTTGTCTTTTTTTTTCTTTAAACAAATATTTGATGGATTTCCAGAATAACTTGGTTATCTCACCTTTTAAAGGCAGTTTCTATTTACAATTAATGAAGATCATTTTAAGACTCTACAAGTTCCTGGCAAAATAGATACGGTTTTAAACTTCAACAGGGGGCGTAAAAAAGCATCCTCTCTTCCCCATAGGTTTCTCCAGCTTTATCACACAAAGAGGAAGGGAAAGACTCCCTGCTGCCCTGGCTGAGCTTCTCAGGCCGTCTGCCCCGCGGGGCGCGGGGGTAATGACCCCGGGGCGCTGCGGCCCTCGCAGCGGATCTATTGAGGGACCTGCCTCTGGCTTTCAAAGCGCTGAGGTCAGTATCCAAAGTAATTTCCGCACGTGTGCAAGCGGGTTACAAGGGTCCCTGACGGGCGGCCCTGGGGTCTTTCTGCCTCGACATTGAGAGGCGGCTTCTAGTGATGCTGAGCCAACAGCAACGTGCACGTGGGAGGCTAGACGGGACGGGAAGTCTGGGCTGACGGCCACCGACCCCCAGAGTTCCAGGTCTCGGACTCCCAGGCCTGCGATGTGGAATAACCCTCGGGCACCGAGGCAGGGACGGGGCGGCTGCAAGGGCTCTCTGCAGGCACCAAATACTCCCAGTGCTTCCCCCACACACACCACTTCTCCCAGTTAACAAAGCTGACGGAATGGACACTAAATTTTCATTTATAACATCCTCCAGCAAAAGCTCGATAGGTTACTCCTTTCGGTGCTCAAGAGAAACAAAGGTTAAAAAGGGCAGAGTTAGATTAACAAGTGAGCAAGGGCAGCGCACGCTCCGTGGCGGCTTCCATCCCGTCGCCGCTGCTGAGGAGGACGGCCGGCGAGGCCACGCGGGGGTGTGCACACGTGCGTCCCTCGCACGCTCACAGCCTCTGAGACAGAGGCTCGCCTTTAAGAAATAAAAACAGCCAGTCCTGGGTTGACAGAGAATCTTGAGAATTGTAAGAAAAATCTACTTCTGTAGTGGTTTCGCACGAATCCCAGGCTGTTATTTGCTGCAGGAGTGCTCAAATGCTGCCCAGCTTCCACCTAATCAGAAGTGCTACTACGTAAAGGAAAGAAATATTAGAATTAGAGGGAGCCCCCCCCCACCCCCGTCACCCCGTCACAGCTCTCAGGCACACACGGCATGCTGCTCTGTTTCACGGATGCAAACGCAACCGTGATGAAACCTTTCGTCGCCTCTGAAACGACAGGAGATCTAGGACGGCCCCAGCACTGCCAGCATGGGAACCAGCGCTCATCTTTCCAGGAGAATCACTCAGAAGGTTCCTTCATCGTGGCGAGTAACCACACGGTCTACACGCCACTAAGGTTCCACCCAAACCCAAGGACTCCCGCCGTGGACGACAGCCCACGGTCCCAAAAAAAGGAAGCTTGGGGGCAGCCCGGGTGGCTCAGTGGTTTAGCGTCGCCTTCAGCCCAGGGCGTGATCCTGGAGACCCGGGATCGAGTCCCACGTCGGGCTCCCTGCATGGGGCCTGCTTCTCCCTCTGCCTGGGTCTCTGCCTCTCTTTCTCTCTCTCTCATGAGTGAATAAATAAATAAAATATTAAAAAAAAAAAAGGAAGCTTGGAGGACGGGTGCTTACACGGTCCCCACGTGGGCAAAAGTGGCCATGGCGGGTGGAAGTGACCAGTGGAAACGGAGGCCCCCTCCACGTTACACACAGCGGAGCTCATGCAGCCGCCCAGGGACGGGCGCAGAAGGGCTCTGCTGGGGGAGCTCCTGGGGGCTCAGCGCCAGACAAGCCCACGTCCGAGGCCTCGGCTGGTCAGTTCTGGGTGAAGTCTGGGGAGACAGACTGAGCTCTGTGCAGTCACGGGTGACCGCTGTCCATAAGGTGTCACCTGTTCTTCCTTTGGGACCACCGACCACAGGCCAGTGAGAAAGTGCATCTAGACACACATCAGAAAAATGGTGTCTTTGTCGTGACTTCCCGACGAAAAGCTCCCGACTTCTGCGGGAGCCTCCAAACCTTTCTCGGGCGCACCGCTATCTGGGATTAAAGATCAAACAGGAGGCAGGCGTTCAGGGAACTTCTTTTCACAGAGAACACCACGGAGGGAGGGAAGCTGTGCCCCCCCCGAGGCTCACCACCCTGCGCCCCGGGGTGGACAACGTGGGACGTGGGTTGGGCCCAACAGTGGGCTCTGGCCCACGGCAGCCCAAAGGCTCCTTGAAGTCTTGGAAACTTAATCAGTAGCCTCGTGGGAACCCCATTCCCTCAAAGCATGGGGAGGACCCAATGTATCTGGGGGGGAAGCTTTAGGTCGCATTATCCCAAATGACCAGGTATTTAACTCGATCTCAAAGGGTATCTTAGATTTGCACAGATGAAGACCCGGCCACTAGTGGGAGGCCCCGCTGTGACACAGCACGAAACCACCAGCTTCGTGGCCAGGGCATCTAAGAGGCATGTGTTTTACTTCCAGGAACACGCACGATGGCCCCAGGTTGGCGTCGACGAAGGTCCGGGCAGATGGCTGCAGGACTATGCCCACAGCGAGGACCTACTGTAGAGAATACATCAGAAATTTAAAACATGCCACTGTTAATGTTGTAGGAAATACTGTAGGAAAAGCCACTTTTCCCAAATAGTGTCATCACAGGTATTTACGAGAACACTAAGGGTTCAAGGGTGCGTTAGCTACTTGGTGCTACATGATAGGCCAGGTCTTACTCATGTTTTCTTCATCTTCTGTGTCCATGGCAAAGTACTCCTGGGGGTTCCTTGACTGGCGGAGACGGTTTCTGTCTGAAAGACAGCAAGAAAGTAATGTTCAGTGTGGCCGTCACATGAGCAGGTGAGGTCAGCCTGCTCCGGTGGAAACGGGTATGACATCGCTACAAACTAAAGAAGAGAGTCGCAAAACAAGGATGGTGACGTCTGCTGCCCGGGATGGGACACCTGTGCGCCTACCTGTCGTGCATGGCCCAGGACTCCAGGGGAGCATGACCAGGGCTGTGCCATCGGGCGGAGGGGGGCGGGGACGACGGTGCAGGTGGGAAGGTGGCACAGCGAGGGAGGTGCAGGGGCCACCCTGGGACGCGACTGCCCCTCTGGGAGGGCGGCCCTGCGGCGGGGTAGGCCCTCGAGGACGGTGAGGGCAAGGATGTCTCAGGGAGAGCTCTTCACGGGACGTCACGACAGAAGACAGGGAGCCACACACGCGCCACCCCTTGTGGTCGCTGCTTGGGGGGACTCCGGTCTGGGCGGGAAACTAAAGATGCGGAGCTAGAACATCCCAGGATTTCACCTCCTGCTCTTCTTCATCCCGAACAGCATCTCGGGTGGATGCAACTCAAGAGCATACAACTACCCAAATCGGATCAATCCTTTAGTAACATATAACTTCTTATTTTGTTGGCAGGAGAAACCACAGGAAATCCTCAAAGAACGATTGCCCCCATTGCCTAATTATTAACAAGTTGAATGGTCTCCTTTCTAAACACTGTGGCTACAGTACTGTGGCTCTGCAACACTGTACCGGTGCGAATGACCCCATCACACGGCAAGCGAGGAAAAGGAGACTGCAAATGTCGCGGCCACACTGGCTTTACGTATAAACAGAACTCACAAGTCACTGAAAGGCAGATTCAGTGCTTTTAGAAAAAATGGTGACTAAAATTTAGTGCTAAATCCTGCATATGCTAGGAATCTCATGTACGTAAGATGCACATAGTTTCCATGACAATCATTTGTTAACAATGGTGACTCTCCATGCACATGTGGCAAATTTGTTGCTAGAAGTTAAATGAGTTTCTGTTTAGAATCCTTTATTCAAGGCGCGCCTGGGTGGCTCAGTCCCTTGAGCGTCAGACTCTTTATTTCAGCTCAGGTCATGGTCTCGGGGTCGGGAGAGCGAGCCTCCCGGGCTCCATGCTCAGCGCGGAGTCTGCTTGAGAGTGTCTCTCTCTCTCTCCCTCTGTCCCGCCCCCTGCTTGCTCACTCTCTCTTTCTCTCTCAAGTAAATAAATCTTTTTTTTTTTAATTTTTATTTATTTATGATAGTCACACAGAGAGAGAGAGAGGCAGAGACACAGGCAGAGGGAGAAGCAGGCTCCATGCACCGGGAGCCCGACGTGGGATTCGATCCCGGGTCTCCAGGATCGCGCCCTGGGCCAAAGGCAGGTGCCAAACCGCTGCGCCACCCAGGGATCCCAAATAAATCTTTTTTAAAAAGAGAATTCTTGGGGCAGCCCGGGTGGCTCAGTGGGTAGCGCTGCCTTCAGTCCAGGGCCTGATCCTGGAGACCCGGGTTTGAGTCCCATGTCGGGCTCCCTGCATGGAGCCTGCTTCTCCCTCTGCCTGTGTCTCTATCTCTTAAGAATAAATAAATAAAATCTTAAAAAAAATAAAAATAAGAGAGAATCCTTGGGCAGCCCAGGTGGCTCAGTGGTTTAGCGCCACTGTCAGCCCAGGGCGTGATCCTGGAGACCCGGGATCAAGTCCCACGTCGGGCTCCCTGCATGGAGCCTGCTTCTCTCCCTCTGCCTGTGTCTCTGTCTCTCCCCCCCCCTCTCTATGTCTCTCACACATAAATAAATAAAATCTTTAAAAAAAATAAAAGAGAATCCTTTAAAAAAGTGTTCCACATAGTTTTAAAAGCATTTTTAGTTTATACTAATTCAAGATAGATTTTCTTGAAACATATTATTGTGCAAAGCACAATGTGGATGCTACAAAACCAAGATGAATCAAATGGATTCTGCTGCTGAGAAGTTTAAACATAAATATTATGTGGGGGCACCTGGGTGGCTCTGTTGGTTGAGTGCCCGACTTCTGGTTTCGGCTCAGTTTGAGATCTCGGGGTCGTGGGGTCGAGCTCCGTGTCGGGCTCTGTGCTCAGCAGGGAGTCTGCTTGGGGTTCTCCCTCTCCCATCCCCCCATGCTCACACCTGCGCTCTCTTTCAAATAAATATATAGATCTTTTTTTAAAAAATAAATATTATAGGGCAGCCCCGGTGGTGCGGCAGTTTAGTGTCACCTTCAGCCCAGGGTGTGATCCTGGGGTGCCCGGATCAAGTCCCACGTCGGGGTCCCTGCTTGGAGCCTGTTTCTCCCTCTGCCTGTGTCTCTGCCTCTCTCTCTCTCTCTGTGTCTCTCATGAATAAATAAATAAAATAAAATAAAAATTATCTGAATAGCTGGTTATATTAAGGAATTATTAATCATTTTAGGTGTGAAAATAGCACTTAAATTATCCTGACATATTGAGTACGTACAGATGAAACGATTATTTATTTATTATTATTAACTAGCACAGCACGGTGGGGGAAGAGCAGATGGTGTCTGGATGAAAGAGAGGAGTCCAGGTTGGTATGCTGATGCCGGCTGATGGGCACGTGGGGGTTCGGTAGCAATTCCGTATTTGCATGTGTTTCAATATTCCCATTATGGAAAGTTTTAATAAAAAGTCACTTCCTTGAGATCCACAGTGGGAGGGAAGATGTGCACATGCCGTCGGTGAGACATGGGTGTTCCGAGGGGGTCGCTCAGCTGGACGACGGGTGCTTGAGTGCTAGTCGGAGCCTGGGGTGCAGGCCAGGGCACCCCTGAAGGCAGGTGGCAGGGGCAGCAGGAGAGCACAGCGCTGCTGTGAGACAGGCGATCACAAAGCACGTCGGGGAAGCCCAGACTATCCCTTCTGGAAACAACACGCAAACCCGTCCAACACACTCTGTTCCTATGAACTGAACACCGGTTTTAAATCAGCAGAAGGGATTTGTCCTTTGCTCCCACTTGGGGCAAGCGAAAACTGGACATTCCACAGAAAGCAAACAGTGGAAGGGCTCTGGGGACCAAGGAACGGCTCAGCAGGGAGTGCCCGGGTCTGCTGTTGGCCTCATCGTCCCAGCCCGGGAGCTGGAGAAGCTGGCAGCCTGGGAACAGCACTGGGTATAGACAAAAACACACCAACAAAACAAGAACTGCTCTTTCGGTCAAAGGTCCAGGAGAGGCACCTGCCAGGGACACGGGACCCCAGCCCCCAGCTGCAACGCAGAGTCAAGGGGAACACTCGGGGAGCCTGTGACGAGGTACCGAGTGCCCATCTCATCCCCGCTGGGGCTGCCGGAGGCCCAAAGAGCAGCAACCCCGGTCCTCGGGGGGAACCGGGACCCTGGCAGCAGTTCGCGGGACGGTCAGCCAGAAAGAACAGAAGGCTGAAGAAAGATCCAGGGTCTTGTGACATAGTATGTTCAGGTTTCAGCAAAAAATCATTCACCACACTGAGAGCCCATGAAGATCTCAAACTGAATGAAACAACCAGGAGATGCCACCCAGAGACGTCAGAACCCACGGGGAAGGGCTTTAAAGCAGCTATGGGAAAGTGACTTCCTAACAGCTTCGGTCATCACAGCCAGGGACCGCGGAGCAGAAGGGAGGGTCTACGGCGAGGCTCCCCCCACACTCAGCCGGCCGCTCGGCTGCTGACCATGTGCCAGAGCACCTGAGGGCAGGGAGGACAGCCCTGTCGGCAAAGGTGACAGGATGCTGGGGCAGTGGACACCCAAGTCTACACCCTACACATAAATCCACTTGGAATGGACCAAGGGCTTCAACGTAAAACATAAAACTACAAAACTTTTAGGAAATAGGATGAGGATCTAGGACGAGGGAAAAAGTTTGCAGACCAAAAGCATAATCTATGAGAGGAAAACTGATAAACTGGGCCTCATCAAAATCAAATACTTCTGCTTAAGACCCTACTGAGAAGATGAAAAGACAAGCTATGGACAGGGAGGAAATATTTCAAAGCCACACACCCAACCAATAGGATACACAAGAGATTCTCAAAACAATAAAACAAGCCAATTAGAAAATGGGCAAAACACAGGAAGAGCCGAACCACCAAAGAGGGTATCTATGTAGATGGCAAATGAGCACGTGAGGAGGTGTTTGATGTCACCAGCCCTCAGGGAGATGTGCCTCGAAACCACATGGGAGGCCTCTACACACCTGTGAGAATGGCTACGATAAAGAACAGCGGAGAACAGCACCCCAAGTGCTGGCAAGGCTGCGGAGAAGCAGGTCACTCACACGGCTGCTGGGACGGTAGCAGGTGCAGCCACCTTCGAAAATGGTCTCGTGGTTTCTTAAAATATGAACTTGGGCATTTATCCCAGAGAAATGAAGACAGGTTCACATAACAAATGGGTACACGGGGGCGGCTGGCTGGCTCAGTCACTGGAGAACCAACTCTGGATCTTAGGGGTTGTGAGTTCAAGCCCCATGCTGAGGGTAGATTACGTCAAAAAAATTATATTCTAATTTTATATATATGTACGTGTTTAGAGCAATTTTATTCACAATAACCCCAAACTGGGAAAAACGCAGATGCCCTTCAACAGGTGAATGATTAAGTAAAATACGGTCCATCCACACCATGGAATCCTACATGACAATAAAAAGGAACAAACTGATGATATACACGGCAAGCTGGAGGATCTCCAGAGGATTTGAGTGAAAAAAACCCAATCTCATGATCCACTGTATGGACCAATGCATAGTCCACTGATACATAATATCCTGGAAATGAGAAAAACAGAGAACAGATTAGTGGTCACCAGGGTTTGGGGAAGATGTGGGTGTGGCTACAGAAGGACAACAGGAGGGAATGCTCCAGATCGCGACTGTACGGAGGTCAACATCCTCTGTGTAAAGTGAGCAGAGGTTCTCTATTGTCTCTTAGGGCTACGTGAGAATTGACATTATCTCAAAATGAAAAGTTAAATTAAAAGTAGGCAGAAGGC